GCCTAGTGAAGCCACGGAAGGAAAAGAATAGGTCGAGCAAGTAGTCCCGGCGCAGTGCGCGCCTAGCAGCCATTGCTTGGCCGTGTGGTGATGCGTAGAGCAAAGCAAGGCAAGTGCTCATGAAGCGGCTGGGCATCACATAGGAAGAAGGTGAAACCATGGAGATGACCTTGCTGTGCTACCTCAACCTCTTCAAAGGTCCGATGTCCGACTTTGTCATCAAGGCGCTAGTGGCACTCAGTGGCCTTGATGGACTAGCCATGCTAGGGCAGATTGCCATGTAATGCTTCCTTGCTGCTCGAGGACTCGTTCATGCCATGCCAGGCCAAGCTACGATAGAGGGCACTAAATGACGGCGCAAGGTGAGACTCTGTACATGATCTTGTCGAAGATACCAGATGATGGGAGGAGGTCAAAGCGTTTGGCTATTCTTCACCATGGGAAGCCGGAGCTGCTATTTGCTGCTTGTGCTCAGTTCGCCACTGAGGACACGTGGTGAGCGTCGTTGGCATGAATATAAACACATGATCACTAATGGTTAATTGTTAGTGTTCATCCATATTATTAGTGTTCATCCATATTATTGGTGTTCATCATCATTAACCATTAATGGTCATCTATTCCATAAGGGTTCCAAGGCCGCTTGTGACCGTGAGCACGGCTGATGTACCAGTTTTACACTCTGCAGAGGTTGTACACTTTCACTGTGAGTCGTGATTTACCCTTTCGCCCGAGGTGATCAGCCCCTTGACCCACTACCAAGGAAGGTCGGCAGGGTTCACTATGAAGCCTTTCAAAGGTTCGTCTAACAAGTTAGGGCCGCTAAGGTTTCCCTATCAATAAGCATGAACCCCCTCCAAGGAATGACTAACAAAATACAAAGAAATCAAAGTGCACCCTCCTGGCAGGCTGAGATCATACAAATTGGAGCCCCTCTTGCGCCATTAAGGTAACCACTAACAAGCTAGAAAAGGTCCTCATACTGAGCTAAAACCACAACCATGTAGCCCTCACAACTGTACTGTAAGTCCTGGATGATCACTTACAAATAAGTCCTTAGGAAGAGAAATCTACAGCATTTAGAAAGTAGCTAAACACTCTAGCCCCCTGTTTTCATGTTGCTAAAAAGCATCTTTTAGTGTTTATTACATATACCATTAGTCAAGTTACAAGATCATGGTTGTAGTTGAGCACTAGCAAAGCTACCCAATGCAATAACCCAAATGCATCAAGGTACAAGTATAAATTACTAGGAAATCCTTAGTGGTAGTCAAGGTAGACACATGCAGCATGAATTAAATGATTAAAGGTATATAGGACAACAAGGAAGATCCCATGCTATACTTGCCTTAAACTTATATCCTTCTTCAAATCCAAAACTGTAAAGATCCGCTTCTTGATTCATCACGTATAGCTCACCGACTGAACATGATCATAAAGCACCACACAAGCATCCATGCAATCATACACAAAGCAAACAATGAATCTAAATTAGAACAATACATCAATCATAGAAAAATAAATAAAACAGTTTGAAACACGATTCTACGCATCACTACGAACACATAGTCGTGAAAATCACTCTAATCGGAGGAAAAGATACATCTACTGATATATTTGTTTTATACGTGGAAAAGAAAACCATAGGTCTCATTTATTTTAACCATACAAATTCATATATATAAGATATTTTATAAATATGATAAATTGAATTAAGTAAAATTCAGATTTGATTTATAAAACTAAAGTAAAACAAATCATGTTTTATTTATAAAATCCAGTTGCATAATTATTAATCAAGATATGATTTAAACCATGAAATTTTAGAAATAGTAATACGGTAAAAACTATTACTAACGCGTAGATCTCGTCGCTATGAATCTAACGCAACTTGAATAGGTCAAATCAGAGCTAAAACGTAGAAGATATGAATTAAACTAGATTTCCTTTAATAAAATAATAGATTAAATCGAACCTTGAATTTGAAAAGTTGAAAACATATTTAACAATAGTATGAACATGTAGATTATGAAACTACGAACCTAACACAAGTTGAATGAGTCAAATCGGAGTTAAAATAGAGATTTTATGGCTAAAACAAGATTAACTGTAAATAGATGAAAACGTATTTCTGAAGTCAACCGAACAAAATACGCTTTTAAAAGAAGAAAGCATAATCTGAGAAATACGCAATGGACCGCGGGTTCTATTTTGAAGAAACTGAGGGGCTCTTATGAAATTAAGCCATGCGAAGGGGTCAGAGAATTCTTGGGCTGTTGGATCGGGAATAGACGGTTGAGATTAGAAGACGGGGAGGGAGAAGAGATGCCAGCGCCAGAACAGTAGCTCGGTGGGGAATTTGTCGCCGACATAGCTTGATTGCTCGCCGGAGCTATTGGACAAAGCGCCTAGGAGCTCTAATTCGACTCTGATTTGGCACAGGGAGATGGATAGGAACATGGCGAACTCGATTATCTGACTTGCAGCGGCTATTGCAAAGCAGAGACTTCGGGCAGCGGGCTATGGCGGCGGCTAAGCTTCGGCGTACCAGTTCAAGGCATCACAAAACGAGAGAGAGGGCGTGAAGGGGTTTTGCGGGTTCAAAAAGTTCATGCGAAGCTCTGCGAGGTACTTACCGTGACGATGGAGAAACTAATCGATGCGGAGACGATGGCTTCTCTCAGCGGAAACTGGACAGCGGCACTAGGGTTCCTGGCGGCGCGGATGGTGGTCCTAGGCCTCGGTGGGGGACGACAGGACCGCTGGGAGGCTTCTATTTAAGGGCCGGGTACTGCTAAGGGTGAGAGGGGGCGTGGACGGGGTGGACACGGCGTCGTGCGAGTCCAGGTAGGATACGCCGGAGGTAGGAGATGCACCTGACAGTGGGTTCCCACCGGTCGGTGTCGAGAGAAAGAGAGGCTGGGCGGTCAGTGAGGGAGAGAGGGCGCGTCGCGGGCTGCTGCCTTCTGCTGAGTGGAGCTGGGCTGCCGAACTGGGCCAAAGGAGAGGAGGAGAGCGTCGACGCGGCGCTGGGCTGCGGAAGCGGGAAGCAGAGCTGGGCCGGGCGCGTGGAGGAACAGAGGCAGGCCGGGGGAAAGGAAGCCGGCCGCGCGGGGAAAAGAAAAGGATGGGGAGCAGCAGTGGGCCGCGCGGGAAAAGAAAAGCAGAGACTCGCATTGTTGATTGAAGTCACGTATCCCTTCTTGAGCCAACATTTCCCCTTATGGAGACCAACACCTCCTTACAAAGATACCTTCATACACAGGATAGCTAAGCTGATCACTACTTCCATGCAACTCTATCAAAGGTAAATTCTTATAGCCCTTAAACTAATCCTTGTTTGCAATCCAAATTCCATATTTTTATTCTCATGTATGCTAACTTATGGTATATGCTAATTTTCATGAGTAGGGAAGGGACGCGATGCTTGAGTCCTAATGAAAAAGATGGTCGGTTCTGTGGTTGTCCAAGGGGCAGTTAGCCAAATCATATCTGATCTGATTGACAGGCATGAGGGGAAAGAGAAATCGAAGGACAACCATGTTTAGTTCTCTCCAATTCCAAACTTTGGCACTATGCAAAAAGAAGATTCCCCATCACATTAAACTTGCGGTACATGCATAGAGTACTAAACGTTGACGAAATCAAAAACTAATTGCACAGTTTTGTTGTACTTTGCGAGACGAATGTTTTGAGCCTAATTAGTCAACGATTAGACAATTATTACCAAATAAAAACAAAATGACACTGTTGGGGGCTGCCAAACTCTTTGAATGCTGCATTGGATCTTTGCCTCTGGTCACACCGAGCTAGAAAGCCTGCCCATTGTTCTCTTCAACTTTTGGGTTGAGTTTTTTTTTTTTTGACAATGTGACATAGCTTTGCACTTTAGATCTTTCTTTTCATTTTGCAAATCCTCTGGTCCCTGCATATTCATTTATATATCAAAGTTCAGGCTCGCAATCGCCTACCATAGTACCAATCGTGATCTGCTTCTTTATATTCTTTTTGTCCTTTTCCGTTTCTTCAATTCTGTTGCTTGGACACATCTTTTTTTCTTTTTATGATTAATATATTATTAATCAGTAGGGTGCTACCACTACTGTTTCCTCAAAAAGAATCGCCTACCGTAGTTACTCTAAAGAAAATCCAGTCTAAAATTTATGTAAGTGCAGTGCAGTGCGCTGTTCATGTGTTTAGCTTCATGTAAATCTATTTCATACTAGAGATTATATATAGTAAGAAAAGGGGAAAATAGAAAAACATAGGGGTATGGCCAAAATAAATATTGTCAGACTCTTGGCCTGGCCCAGGTGGCGGTGCAACACTGCTGCAGGTTCTAGCTTCTGGGCCCCACGTGTTTGACTAGAATGCCATGGAGCATGGGGAGGTTTCAAGCTTTCCATGTCCTGCAAAGGACCAAGCCTTCTGAGTTCCCTGTACGCTGCTGAACTAATATAATGGATGAAAGATGTTGAAGCTCACTTAGTATATTTCCCCTCTTGTTCTCTTTCAGTTTATTAGCATAGCAGCCTCCGTATGGTTCAACTTGTCACTATTTAATGCATGTTCAATACTATGTTAGCCAATTATATTCAAACGCGTAAAGAGAAGCATAGCAGCCTCCATTTGATTATTCACACAGCATGTGCTTCGTCAACTTGCCACCACTTAATGAATGTTAGTCAATTATATGCATATATAGAAGCAGAGACTCTCATCATTGATTGAAGTCAAATATCCCTTCTTGAGCCAACATTTCCCTGGCTTATGGAGACCAACACCTCCTTATAGAGATACCTTCATACACAGGACAGCTAAGCTGATCATTACTCCCATGCAATTCTATCATAGGTAGATTCTTACAGCCACTCAGCTAAATCCTTGCTTGTGATCAAAATTCCATATTTTTACTCTCTCATGTGTGATGACTAATGGTATATGCTACTTTTCATGAGCAGGGAAGGGATGCTATAGATGCTTGAGTCCTTATGGCAGAGATGGTCGGTTCTGCAGTTGTCCAAGGGGCAGTTAGCCAAATCCTATCTGATTTGATTGACAGGCATGAGGGGAAAGAGAAATTGAAGGACAACGAAAACTTGGAGAGGCTAGAGATGGCGCACATCAAGTTGGAGGCTGCTCTCGAGACATCTGAAAAGTGGCAGATCACTGATGCATCGTTGTTGCGTTGGCGGAAAAAATCTGAAGCGTGCTGCTCAAGAGTGCGACGACGTGCTCCACAAGTGCAAGAATAGAATCCTGGAAGAACAAAAGATGGAACAGGAGGTCAGTAGTTCAGCCTTTCCTAAACGGATAGCACATGCTACCAACATTTATCTCTTCTACCTTTGGTCTCAACAACCAGCTAAGCAGATCCATTGTTCGAAGATTTGAGTGATATGCAGATGGTGCTAGCGACTTCTTGAGATTCATAGAGCTTGGTTGCACACCGCATTGTCACATGCCCTTCAACCCTTTAGTCAAAAACCTTTTTACAGGCAAGAAGCTACAACACAATCGATCTGAGAAATCAGAGCACATTTTTTTTGCTGTGGTTGCCCTTCAGTACTCCAGAGCATGGAATAGAGTATGTCCTGTTCTTCATCCACAAAGATGGTCTGGCACCCGAGAATAGTTTTTTCTTTAGTGTCACTCTACAACTTTTAGAGAGTACGGGCATAGTTGGAACTGCCATTGATTGCTTGAGGTTGTAGACACCTCTTTTTAACTCTAAAGTTGAAACTATTAGGAATAAACTTATACAACTACCTACACAAGACTTCTCATGGGTGCCATTTCTTGATTCACGCCAGAAAAAACATTGGGAGAATCTTCATAATTGTGTTTCTCAATGGAATCGCCCAAACCCATCATGTTGCAAGGAGCTTGACCAGCATGAACTTCACTGTAGTAGCAACACAGGCATGCCAGTTATTTCTCTAGAATCAGTTATTGGAGTGCACTTGCAGTGCCAAGTCTCACTGCATGGAGGCGATTTTTGTCTGCAAGATTCTCAATATCTGATAGCTGGACTACTGTTTATGCCCCATGGCTCTTCAGAGGACCTGCTGGCTGCGGATAAAAGCTCAGCTATAGTGGTGAATCACAGTGAGGAGCAACATTGCGCTCATACAGACATTACCTTGGCACAGCTGGAAGAGATCACACTACCAAAGGCTGTAGATTACTTCTGCCAAAACACAGACACATTAGTGTACCAGATGCTTTGGAAGTCTAAACATGGTGCTGCATATATTCAAGTTGTGAAGGCAAGCACGACGATGCATAGCACACGGCGAATGACTCGGGCACTAGGGCAAGAAAGGCAGTGCAACGACAGGATCAGGAGCTGGAGGAGCAGCCGTATGTGGTTCCTCACTTCCTCAACTTAAGGGCTGGGCACGCGCCTAGCCGGCTGCAAGGCTCTCTTGCAAGCTGGATGCAGAAAGAAAAAGAAAATCGGTTAGCACCTTCACAAATGCGTCTCTTCTTAATGAAATACATGTGAAGTTGTGTTCTAGAAAAAAAATGTGCCTGAAGTTCTAGATCATTTAGCATGGATCAATAATAGAAACTAGCAGCAAAAGATTCATGGAAATGGAATTTTCTTGTGAATAGATTAAACATAAATGTTGGGAATTCTTCACAGCTAAGGACATGTCTATACGTTGAGGACATTCTCGGGTATGAGCTAAATTCTGTATATGGGGTCATGACTTGAGAGAAGGTTCATGAGTACTTGAGTTACATATGCGAAGAGTTCTCTGGAAGAGTACACTACTGGAGACGGGCTCTTTGTCGAGTGCTTAGGGCACTCGGCAAAGCCCCTATTGCACTCGGCAAAGCCTTTGTCGAGTGCCGCACTCGGCAAAGAGCAGTCGGCAAAGAACCCGTCGGCAAAGGTATCTTTGCCGAGTGCCACATATCGGGCACTCGGTAAAGCCTTTGCCGAGTGTCACGTCAGCACTTGGCAAAAAAAATTCGACGTCAACTCTGACGGCCTCTTTGCCGAGTGCCACCTCCGCGGCACTCGACAAAGAATTTTTTTCTTTATTTTTTTTTGAAAATTCTTTGCCGAGTGCCAGACTCTTGCACTCGGCACAGAAATTTTTCTTTTTTTAAAAAAAAATCTTTGCCGAGTGCCATGGCTCTGGCACTCGGCAAAGCTGGGAAATTGGGTCTCTGCTTCCCAGCTTTGCCGAGTGCCATGGTCACGGCACTCGGCAAAGCCCTCTTTGCCGAGTGTGGCACTCGGCAAAGAGGGGGAAAATGCTATTTTTTGGGGGTTTTTTGCTTTCCATCAGCACAAACAAAGAAATCACATATATATCAACATACAGCACATGATATATCACATACACATCCATATTCCATCACATACACATCCATAACCCATCACGTACACATCCACCATCCATAATACATCACATACAAATCCATTGTCCATAATCCATCACATACATTCGCATCATCCATGACAATATCCATCACAATATATATGTCTCTAATAGTAGTCCAACATAAAGCTAAGTCTAACACAAGTCCATGCAACATGAAAAGAAACAAATAAACGGTACCTACTGCCAGCCTCTCCACCCGGAGTGTGAACTGCCACCTTGAGGAGGGCCAGTTGGCCACCCGGCCTGTGGAGAAGGCCCACCTTGAGGAGTCCGGTTCGAACCCGCCGACTGTGGCTGCACAAAGGAGAAGCGAATTCATGAGTATCTACAGGAGGGCCGCACAAGCTAAAGGAATAAACAACCATATATACTCACCGGAGTCCCTACAGGAGGAGGAGCCACAACTGGAGCGAGCAGCGACTGGGGCACGACCACACCTAGCAAGGCCTGAAGGCTTGCCATGAAGCTAAACATGTCCTACAACCTCTGCGCCTCAGCCGCCCTCTGGGCTTGTACAACCTCCATCTCCAGCCAATGGGCCTCCGCCTGGGCCGCCTGCTGGGCCTCCAACCTCCGCAAGTCGGCCTGCAACATTCCACCCGCAATGTTTAAGCAATGCAAAGGCAAGGTAGATGTGTAAAAGCAATGAACGACGAATAAAACAGTACTAACCTGGAGTTCCGCCATCTGCTGCTGTGAGCTCTGCTGCCGAGAGCGTATGGGGAGGGAGGACCTCGTGCTCCTTGCTTGAATCTCGGCGAGGTTGGGAACAGAGGTGGAGTCAACTGTGCTGTCCGCCATCCAGTACTAGTCGTGCTGCTTCCCTCCTCCCATCCTCATTAGGAGGTCTGTGTCCAGGGGCTGGGTGGCCGGATCGAAGTCCTCCCCATGGCGCTCGTGGGCCGCCGAGGTGTACTCGCTAAGCTTGTTGTGGATGCTCGCGTTGGTGTACGCCTTGGGCCCATCCGCCGGGTTGTAGGTGACTTCCGGGGCCGTCGCCTTGCCCTTGTGTGCCAGGGCGTACGCCATGAACTCGTTGCATTCCTGGCCTTGGTGCGCCTGGGACTACGACGAAAACATAAAGATGATTACAAGTAATGAGAATTGAGCATTAGAATAAATAAATAAATATGAAAACACAAAGAAGATTACCCATGTCTGGGCGTACACGCTAAGGCTCCGGTTGCCTTGGTGGTGTGGCACCCCACCCATCTGCAGGCGGCAGTCCCGACGGATGGTGTGCTTCTCCGCCCACTCCTCCGAGAGCCACCTGTCCACAATGGCCTCCCAGCAGAGGAGGTGTCTGGCTCACCAATCAGGACATTGCTGCATGCCATCAAGTTATTGATATGTCAGAAGATGAAATAAAGCCTACCTATTCTTCATGGAAGGAGTCACTATTAATGTTTCATACTTATCGAGAGGTACTGCTCCTTGGTGAGCGTCCTGCTCCTGGCATCGGCCTTCCTCACCACCTAACCAAGGATGTCGGCGCTGTAGTTGGTGATGCACTGGAGCCGCGTCTCATGGTACAAGTCTGAGAGTCGGGACCTACAGACCTTGTCCTGCACTCGCGCCACCCGGTCCTCAAACCCTTCGCCGCACCTGAAGAAGTCCTGCATACAAACATCATGTATCGTTTCATTATTTCAAGAACGACCAATGAATGCGTAGTATTGACCAATTTAGTGCGATGCAGACTCACCTAGAACTCGGCCTTGATCCGCACCGCAACGGTGCCGAACTCGCTGTCCTCGGCGGCGTAGAAGTGGTCCCACATCTAGGGCACTGAAGTCACCGAGGCATAGGTGACCTTGTCAGGGTAGTGCTGCCGAATCAGAAGGCCCAGGGTGCCATTGATGTGCCAGCCCGTTCCAGACACAACTTCCTAGTTGCTGCAAGAGTCATTAAGAAGAATTGTTAGTCTCTAGTTCGATTTTCAACATGTCATATGAAATAGTAGTGAAATAATACTTACTTGTCGCCGCTAGGTCGAATCACCGGGCACCGGTGAAGTGGGATCGGCCGCGCCGGGAGCTGTGAGGGCCCGCGCAAGTAGACTCCCATCGAGGTAGAGCCAGAGGCAGTGCAAGTGGAACCCCCTGCTGTCACTATCGTCGCCTCCCCGTGGTCCGACGAGTCAGAGGAAGTGCCACCCCCTCCTATTTGCAGGCCCACCGCCTGGTCTTCCTCGTCCACCAACGGGGTGGCAGCCAGCTACACCCTCGTCCTCGGACGGTCGCGGGGGCGTCCGCTCCTCGTCCTCCTCATCGACGGCTTCGGCAAGGGGTCCTCCTTAGCGTGGGGTGGTGAGCGCTCCCTCATGTAGAGGGAGTTGACCCCCCGACGGGCCTGCCTTCCGCCCGGCATTTTGTCGAGTGCCTGCAATTTCAAAGAGTAAACCAATTAGCACAGTTAAATTACAAGTACTTATAAAGAGATGCAAAATGAACGAAACATAATTGCAATAATAATAATAATAATAATAATAATAATAATAATAATAATAATAATAATAATATAGTATTACATGAATTAGAAATATTCTTCACGATCGTATGTAATTTGGATCATAGGTGTTATCATCACTATCAATATTGTCGAGTAAATCAGGCTCATCTCCATCGTTGTCATCATTGTCATCGCCTAACTATAATCGCTCAAGCATTTGTAAGTCCTTAGCATTTTGCACCTCTTCTCCGTCGTCCTCATCTCCATCGTCCTGATCAATGTCATTGTCTACTTCCATGCCCATCAGCGAAAACATGTCTATGTCAAACCTCCCTTCTAGCCCCTCTGGTTGATAGAACTCCCGTGTGTTTGGGTCAAAGTTGTAATCCTCATCGTTTGGGAAAGGCAGTTTACCGTGCGGCGATACCAACTGCACAAGGTACCAACCGATAAGATTGGGGTCTTTTTGGCATGCCCATGGGAGATAATAAACTTGCGTGGCCTGTTGAGCCACAATATAGACATCCTCTCCTTGATAGACAGAATCCTATTGAATTTTGACTTCTCCAATCTCAGGGGCTGTTCTCATGACATTAGGATCGAACCAATGGCATTTGAATACGACTGGATTAGGAGCTTTGCGACACTCAAAATTGAGCTCGTATATTTCTTCTACTATGCCGTAGTAGTCGCGCTCATCGGTCTGCGGGCGTCACGAACTCCGGTATTCGTGGTTTTTTCGATTGGGCCGACTCATTCGTAGTTTCTTGTGTGAAAGCGATAGCCATTCACATCATAAACGGTGAATGACTTGACCTTGTAGGCGAAGCCTTTGGCGAGCCATTTCAACTCAGCATCCATTTTCGCATCCTTGCGAGCCTGCAAGGTGAGGCCGGATAGATCGTTACATTACTCGCTCGTAGGAGCAAAGTGGGATGTCAAAGATTGAACGAGGTAAATTGGACGGTAGCTTCGTATCGAACCAGGAAATGAAATCGGGCACACCATCTTTAAGAAGACTATCTTCTTCTTGAGGGGAAGGAGCCCTATTCCCTCTCCAGTATTTATTCAGAAATTCCTTGAAAAAACAAGAGATAAGGGGGTTGGATAGATGGAGGATAGTGACAAGGGCGTATGTAACAAGCTCATTGAGAACTTACTACACATAAGGCTTCACTTCATCAAGGTTCAACAACACATACAACATGATAGTGCTCCACTCATCATGCCGCAAGGTCTTGGTGCCCGATGTGCTTGCCTTTCCATGTTGCCCTTTGAAAAGGCTGAGGTTCGATGAACTCTCGTCCGCGTTGTAACGAGGGAGACGATTGTGCACGCTGGGAAGGCCATCCTTATAGTATGTTGTTGTGAAGTTTGACACCTCCTCCAGAATGAATGCCTCTGCCACAGAAGCCTCAATTTTGACTTTATTTCTACACTTTTATTGAAGAATCTTTAGACATCTCTCAATCGTATAGCACCAACGGGCCTGCACGGGCCCCCCCATTTGTGCCTCGTACGGTAGGTGCAAAATCAGATGC